TTCTCCTTCTCCTTCTTCCTCTCTCCTCCTCATTCTCCTTCTCTCCCTTTCTCTTCCTCCTTCTTTGCCTTCCCAGAATTGTGAACCCTTAGCATTATGTCCTCTAAAAGCACTTTATACTGATTTAGGACTGCTTGTTCATTTCCACCAACGCCCCACTTCCTCTATCTTGTTCATGCCCAGCATTATTTTTTTAACTTAATTACATTTGGCCCAGCCATAGTTTTAAATGTGTTTTGTGCTACTGTTCAATGTTTATGCTATTTGTGTATGAGATTCATTTTAATTGCTTTGTATTAGTAGTTGTATTTTGCTTCATTGTAATTGTTATTGCTTGTTGTTCTGTCGTGCGCTGGGCCTGTAACAGCTGTACTTTTCTATAGGACGTATACTTTAAGCCCAGCAGGAAGCCAGGGGCGCCTCAAAGAGAGCTTCTCAGGGATTTTTCCAAAGTGATGGTCTTAAGAGTCTTTAATGATGCAACAAAGTGTTTATTATGGAACAAACAAAACAATGGTTCAAACAACACTTCAAGGCTTTCTTAGTCTAGTCTTCAATGGACTGGCACCTGACTTTGATTATTAACTTTCTCTGTAGGAAAAACCCTTTTTAACCTCTCCCAGGCTGCTTTCTATCTATGCCTCATCGGTGTGGGTGCTACTACCGAATCCAAGTGTGTCTGGGTATCGAGTAGACCTACCAGCCGAGGCTTGAAGATATTTCAGCTGGAGTTCCGTGGATCTGTAATGCTGTTCTCCCTTCGAGAATTCTTAGAAACTTCAGGGCTGTTCCCTCTTATGCTGTGAGGCTGAGAGGCTGTGAGCTCTCAGCCAGAGCTTTTGGGACCTTTTTCCTGGAATTTCTGTTTCTGTTTCCCCGAATGTTCCTTTTCCCTGGAAGCTCCTTTTTCCCTGGATGATTATTGAGAAAGGAAGCTTTTCTACGGGACGAGCTGGTCTACGTCCTATAGCTTAGCTACCTTGTGTGAGACTGCCCAAAAAATGGCTCCTTTCCCTCCCAGGGCCCAGAACAAGGGGCGGAACCAAAGCTTAATTTTGAGGGACAGGAGGCCTGCCCTATGACTGCAAAACAGATAACAAAGAAAATAAAGTTGGAGCTCCTGGTACAGCCGTACCAGCACACTTGTATTGATGTATTGTTGGGCTCGGCCTCATGTAAGCCGCACCAAGTCCCTTGGGAGATGGTAGCGGGGTATAAATAAAGTATTATTATTATTATTATTATTATTATTATTATTATTATTATTCTGCTTTTGCTTCTTCTTCTTCCTCTGCTTCTGCTTCTTCTTCTGCTGCTGCTGCTCCTGCTGCTTCTTCTGCTGAAGCCGAGCATGCCCCCCCCCAATAAGAGATAATAACTTATAGTTCTGCAAAGGGCCAAGGACAAGTCTCAACCTTAACGCTGCAGGACTTCCTTGACTGGGTCAGTGAAACCTTTTGGACCTTTTCTCATGAATTTCATGCTTTTAATCATTCCCCATGAACCCTTTTGTTTCCCTTTCAAAAACATATTTTTATATGGACTTTTCCTGTTATGACTTATAGGCACATGGTTCCTGCTACATCAAATGTATATATTTTCATATTTTCCTTTGTACTAGTGGCCTTCCCTTGACCTTTTTTTCCTTCCCTTTCCTTATGAAGAAACCCCACCAAAGGAACTGCAAAGCCCCAAACATTCCAGGAATTTTTTATCCACAACTTCCTTTTGCATGAACAATAGCCTGGGCAGCTGGTGGCCCTCGGAGGAATTGCCCAGCCCTCAGCTTTCCCCTTTGGCAAAAATCTTAATCATATTTCCTTCTGAAGGACAAAAGGTCCTCGAAAAACCTTTTGCCTTCGCTCTGATTAACTCAGCTATCTCCACCAAGAAACAATCACCCCAGTTTTGCCTACATTGTCTCCATATCTGCTGGCTAGTAAAATCCGGACTTTCCTTTACACATGTTGATTCATTCCACTCAAAGCACAATAGATCAGGCTGGCTTGAGACTTCCCCTTTGTCTCGCTGGCCACATGGCATTATTTTTTTCACATTCATTCATAGATTCCTTTGTGTCCTTTCATCCTGCCTCCCTCTTTTCTGATTTGCTATCGCCGCTAGATGGCAGAAGCCTCCCCATTGGACCCTGCGGACCGCTGGAGCTTCCCGATTGGTCCGGGGGCGCCGGGGGCGGGAGGGCCGCCTCCCAGCTGTTTGCCCATTGTCCAATCGCAGTGGAGGGCGGCAGGGAGGCTGGGGCGGGAAGTTTGAACTCTGCAACTTTGAAAACTCTATATAAATGGCTGTATCAAATGTATTTCTTTATGCTCTGCCTGACGAATGATTGCGGCTTGGCATCCTCTCAGCTGATTGCTAATAAAAGCCTCGGTGGCCATTTTTCTTCAACCTTGGTGAGATTTATTTGGGAAAAATCTGGGAAAATTCTGGGCCTTTCTACTCTTTCGCTTGCCAATGGTTTCGGACTCTCTTTGGAGGGTCTAAGGGCTCCTCCCTCCTGGGCAGGAGCCTCCAAATTCTAGCTCGATATCACTGCTGCTGCTTCTTCTGCTGCTGCTTCTTCTGCTGCTTCTGCTTCTTCTTCTTATCCCTATCCAGCACACATGGGGGTGATGGAGGTTTTAACCCAACACATAGGTACAGCACGGGGTTGGGCCGCAGTGACCCATTGTAGTCCGCCACCAAACAACAAACGCATGGATACCACAACATTATTTTTATTTCAGGTTTTTTTTTCTTCCTGGTGGTTGTAAACAAAAGTACACAGTACTTTTCAACTCAGAACATCTTTTTACAGTTCCTTTGCAATACAATAGGGAAAAACAAATGTCACGCTTTCCTAAAGTGCCTATTACATTCATTTCCTTGCCGGGATTGTGCAAATTTGAAGGAGGGAGACAAAACAACAACAACAAGAAAAAGAACAGTATATAGGATACACAATCCAGGGGGTTTGGTGCTAAATGGGTTACAACCAATCCTATATAGCAGGCATGGGCAAACTTCGGCTCTCCATATGTTTTGGACTTAAGCAGCTGAAGAGGGAAAGGAAGGGGCCTGGAGCCAGGAATTGAAGTCCAAAACACCTGGAGGGCCGAAGTTTGCCCCTTTTTTTTTGTCGTGTCAGGAGCGACTTGAGAAACTGCCCATGCCTGCTATATATCCTCATTAGCAATATCGCCTCCCCAGCCTCTCGTTTCTGGGCTGGACAGTTCTTGAAATACTCAGGTTCCCATCATTCCTGGCCACTGATTATGCTGGCGGGTGATGATGGAAATTGGGCGTCTAATGACACCATAAGCTTAGCAAATGTTGATCTTAAGCATATCCTTTAAGTTGCTTGCTTACTCTAGAGTAGCACCACAGTCTTTTAACATCACAGTAATTTCCCCCCTCCCCCACGCACATTGTTATTATCTAATGAATATATATCCCATTTATTAATACTGATTTGGATTAACAAACATGCAAAAGAAATATTTTGTCTCTCCTCAGCCCTTCATCATTGGGTGTAGTAAATAGTAATGAACACTAGGGGGCAGCAAAATGTAGAATGGGAACAAATGACATTAAAATACTGGGTTGTTGTGAGTTTTCTGAGCTGTATGACCATGTTCCAGAAGCATTCTCTCCTGACATTTCGCCTGTATCTAAGGCAGGCATCCTCAGAGGTTGTGAGGTTTGTTGGAAACTAGGCAAGTGGTTTATATATCTGTGGAATGTCCAAAATTGGGTTTAAATATCTGTGGAATATGGGGGAAATTGGGTTAATACATCTATGAAATATGAGGAAAATAGGGTTTATATATCTGTGGGATATGGGGAAAATTGGGTTTATGTATCTATGGTATATGAGGAAAATAGGGTTTATATATCTGTGGGATATGGGGGAAATTGGGTTTATGTATCTATGGTATATGAGGAAAATAGGGTTTATATATCTGTGCAATATGAGGAAAATGGGGTTTATATATCTAGCTAATCACCTTCCAACAAATAATTCTCCCAGTCAATAAGAGGCCAGACTTTGAAACTGCTAGGCCATTCAATGCTAATCAAGGTGGCCAATTGAAACATTCACACCTACCTCAAACAGACGAAGAACTTCCTGACTGTGAGAGCCGTTCAGGAGTGGAACTCTCTGCCCCGGAGTGTGGTGGAGGCTCCTTCTTTGGAAGCTTTTAAACAGAGGCTGGATGGCCATCTGTCAGGGGTGATTTGAATGCAATATTCATGCTTCTTGGCAGGGGGTTGGACTGGATGGCCCATGAGGTCTCTTCCAACTCTTTGATTCTATGATTCTATATAAAGGAAGGACAATTTGCGCCATGCAGACTTGCCTGCCAAAATGAATGGCAGATACCAAGCAAAACATCAGGAGAGAATGCTTCTAGAACATGGCCAGAAAGGCCAAAAAACCTACAACCACCCAGTGAATCAGGCCACGAAAGCCTTCGACAGTACATTGACATTAAAATAAATAGGCAACAATGATTGATAAATAAATAAATAAACAAACAAATAAATAAGACATATACATTTCACAGCTGGCATATTTGATAACTATCTCTAGTCTTCCATCAAAGGCAATGCATAAAAATAAAAGATGGAAGGAAATACAGTGAAATTTACTTCCATGTAGAAAAATATTTTCTGAAGTTTTGAGGTAATTAAGGCTGTAAAAACTCAAAAGCAATGTGGGGTTTTTTTTAGGTTTCTTCCCATTTTGCCTTGTTTTGATAAAAAAATAATAATAATGCACTATAAACTTTTTTTCTCTCCAAATGATATATTTCTATATCTTTCAAGATGTGACTTGCACATGGCAGGCACAAGCGGAAACTTTTTCTTTTTTCAAAAGTGAAAAGAAAACACACACACACACATACATATGCTGTGAGTTTTCTGGGCTGTATGGCCATGTTCCAGACGCATTCTCTCCTGACGGTTCGCCCACATCTATGGCAAAGGTTTGAGGTCTGTTGGAAACTAGGCAAGTAGGGTTTATATATCTGTGGAATAATGTCCAGGGTGGGAGAAAGAGCTCTTGTCTATTGAAGGCAAGTTTGAAAGTTGCCATTGGCCAGCTTGATTAGCATTGAATAGCCTTGCAGCTTGGCTGCTTCCTGTTTGGGGGAATCCTTTGTTGGGAGGTGATTAGCTGGCCCGGAGCACCCGGTGGCACAGTGGGTTAAACCACTGAGCTACTGAAATTGCTGACTGAAAGTTTGGTAGTTCAAATCTGGAGGGTGGAGTGAGCTTCAACTGTTAGCCCCAGCTTCTGGCAATCTAGCAGTTCGAAAAAATGCAAATGTGAGTAGATCAAGAGGTACCGCTTCTGTGGGAAAGTAACGGCTCTCCGTACAGTCATGCTGGCCACATAACCTAGGAGGCATCTATGGACAACGCCAGCTCTTCAGCTTACAAATGGAGATGAGCACCAACCCCCAGAGTTGGACACGACTGGACTTAATGTCAGGGAAAAACCTTTATCATTACCTTAGCTGGCCCTGATTGTTTCCTTCCTGGAATTCCTTTGTGTACTGAGTGTTGCTCTTTATTAACTCTCCTTATTTTGGAGTTTTCAAATACTGGGAGACAGATTTTGTTCATTTTTATGGTTTTCTCCTTTCTGTTGAAATTGTCCAGGTGCTTGTGGATTTTTGTGTTGTCTGACATGGTGATTGTTATGGACATTTCACAGATATATAAACCCCATTTTCCTAGTTTCCAACAGACCTCACAACCTCTGAGGATGCCTGCCATAGATGTGGGCGAAACGTCAGGAGAGAATGCTTCTGGAATATGGCCAGACAGCCTGGAATACTCACAACAACTCGGTGATTCTGGCCATGAAAGCCTTCAACAACATGAAAAAGAAAATGTATGTTTTGATTCTGGAAGTGGAAAAGAAAATGAAGAACCAACATATAACAGGGACATCACTCACAATGAAGAGAAGAAGAAATGAGAAAAGGGGCTCATCAAAATTTCCAGGGGACTGTGCAAATTAGAAAGGAATACGTTTTTTGCGACACAGGTCTTTGGGCAGAACTGGGGGAAGATTCAGACATCGCTCGGAGATCTGGATCGGAAAGGCATGGTCGGAGAGATGCAGCTGCAACAGATAGTCCATAAGACCTTCTGGATTTCTTGATTCCTGAAAGCATATATCACAGGGTTGATCATCGAGTTGTAAGTAGCGGGGAGCACAGTCACATAGGTGTAGAGGGCCGGGTAGGTGTAGTCTCCGAGGAGGCAATAAATGGCGAAGGGCAACCAGCAGGAGGCAAAGGTCCCCAGGATGACGGCCAGCGTGGAGATGCCTTTCCTGGTGGTGACGTAGTGCGAGGTGGCCAGGAAGTGTCTCTGGAGGGCGATCTGCTGGGCATGCCGACAGACGATCTTGCAGATCTGCACGTAGAGCTGCAGCATCATGGCAAAGATCATGAAGAAGGAAATGGAGAGGATGATGAGGTTGTTCTTGGTCAAGGGCGTGACGATGCTGCAGCTGGCTTGGTCCTCCAGGCAGTTCCACCCCAGGACGGGCAAGACCCCGAAGCAGATGGAGACCCCCCAGGTGAGGAGGAGCATGATGTATGTCCGGGTGACGGTCCGCTCGGAGTAGTAGGTCAGTGCGTTGTAGAGGGACAGGTAGCGGTCAATGGTGATGGCGAGGAGGCTGCCCACGCTGGCTGTGAAGGAGCAGACCAGGAGGCCCACGGTGAGCAGGTTCACCACCTGGGACTGGATGCAGTACACAAAGGCAAAGTGGAATATCAGACCCAAGCCAGCCAAGAGGTCCGCCGTGGCCAGGCTCCCAATCAGCAGGAACATCGGCGTCCGGAAGGCAGGCGTGTAGAAGATGATGGCCACCACAATGGCATTCTCGCAGGAGATGATGGTCCCAGAAACACAAAGCACCACATCCCAGGGGTTCAAGGGAAGAGGCGGCGACTCAGAGAGGTACAAGGACCCGCTGCGGTTGTCGGGCACAAACCAGCCCAGCTGCTCATCGTAGGTGGTGTTGGGGACCACGTCCTCTTTCATGCTGTCTACCTGCAAGAGGAAAATGAAGATGGACTTATGGTTTACTCCAGTGGTTCTTAACCTGTGGGCTGCGAAGACAAAAATCTGGTCTGTGAGCCTCCTTCCTCTCTATTTATTGATTTTATTGATTTTATTTCCGCTCCTTTCATGCCACCTGCCACTCCTTCGCTGTTGCTGACCATGGTATATGTTCTGTATCTGTTTCCCCACCCTTCATGCAGTTGGGACTGTCGGATTAGATTTGCAGTGCAATTCCATGTACACCAGTTTTTAACCTGTGGGCCGTGGACTACCAGTGGGCCACAAGGATGAAAATCTGGTCCATGAGCCTCCTTCCTCTTTATTTTATTTTATTCCTGCTCCTTTCACGCCGCCTGCCACTCTTTCCCTGTCACTGACCATGGCATATGTTCTGTATCAGAAACTAGAACTGGTGTGGTCTATCCAATACAATTTTCTGAATCAGCACCCCAAACCAAATCTAAAATTGACCAAAAACCAATTCGTAATCTTTTTGGTACTAATGTTGGAAAATGGTCCCTGGTCAAAGTGGTTCCTGGTCAAAAAAAGGTTGCTCTCACAAGGAAATCCATTGCCTTGCATGAATACTAGTGGATATAATTTACCACTAAGGAGAAGTTAGACTCAAGTGAGTTTTTAACTCTACTCAGGAAGATCATACTTTACAGATCTCTAACAAGGTCACGCCTTTCCAAAGGTTATGATTATGCCAAATAGTGTGAATGTCAATAAATCTCCAAAAGGGTCAAGCTTCCAAAAGTCCGAGGCCCAAAATGTGTGCCTATCTCTTTACATGAGTGTGGGAACTATTGGGGAAAGCAGGAATTTCCACAGGCTTTTGGAAGCATGACCCTTTTGGAGATTAATTGGCTTTTTTCTGTTACCTTGGCAGCCACCTCTCCACAAAAGTCAACATCGACACTGAAATACAACACTTCCTGAGCTCTGCAAGTGCAGTTTTTTCCCCAAATGAAGCAGAGAGTGTTTGAGGACCGGGACATCCGTAGGGATACCAAGGTGCTTGTCTATAAAGCTATTGTCCTCCCAACCCTGCTCTATGCCTGCGAAACGTGGACTGTCTACAGACGTCACGTGCAACTCCTGGAACGATTCCATCAGCGCTGCCTCCGGAAAATCCTGCAAATCTCTTGGGAAGACAAGGGGACAAACGTCAGTGTGCTGGAAGAAGCAAAGACCACCAGCATTGAAGCGATGGTCCTCCGCCATCAACTCCGCTGGACCCCACGTTGTCCGGATGCCTGACCACCGTCTCCCAAAGCAGTTGCTCTACTCTGAACTCAAGAACGGAAAATGGAATGTTGGTGGACAGGAAGAGATTTAAAGATGGGCTCAAAGCCAACCTTAAAAACTCTGGCATAGACACTGAGAACTGGGAAGCCCTGGCCCTTGACCGCTCCAGCTGGAGGTCAGCTGTGACCAGCAGTGCTGCAGAATTCGAGGAGGCACGAGTGGAGGGTGAAAGAGAGAAACGTGCCAGGAGGAAGGCGCGTCAAGCCAACCCCGACCGGGACCGCCTTCCACCTGGAAACCAATGCCTTCACTGTGGGAGAAGATGCGGGTCAAGAATAGGGCTCCACAGCCACCTACAAACCCACAAAAATAGTCATCAAGGAAGACCATCTTACTCGTCCAACGAGGGATCGCCTAATTAAGTAAGTAACTAGTGGATATAATATACCACTAAGGAGAAGGTTGACTCAAGTGAGTTTTTAACTCTTCTCAGGAAGATCATACTTTACAAAAGGTTACGATCTCTAACAAGGTCACGCCTTTCCAAAGGTTATGATTATGCCAAATAGTGTGAATGTCAATTAATCTCCAAAAGGGTCATGCTTCCAAAAGCCTGAGGCCCAAAATGTGTGCCTATCTCTTTATATGAGTGTGGAAAGTATTGGGGAAAGCAGGAATCTCCCCAGGCTTTTTGGAAGCATGACCCTTTTGGAGATTAATTGGCTTGTTTCTGCTACCTTGGCAGCCACCTCTCCACAAAAGTCAACATCGACACTGAAATACAACACTGCCTGAGCTCTGCAAGTGCAGCTTTTTTCCGAATGAAGCAGAGAGTGTTTGAGGACCGGGACATCTGTAGGGAGACCAAGGTGCTTCTTTATAAAGCGACTGTCCTCCCAACCCTGCTATATGCCTGCGAGATGTGGACTATCTACAGATGTCACATGACACTCTTGGAACGATTCCATCAGCGCTGCCTCCGGAAAATCCTGCAAATCTCTTGGCAAGACAAGCGGACAAATGTCAGCATGCTGGAAGAAGAAAAGATCACCAGCATTGAAGCGATGGTCCTCTGCCATCAACTCCACTGGACCACCCACGTTGTCCGAATGCCCGACCATCGTCTCCCAAAGCAGTTGCTCTACTACGAACTCAAGAACGGAAAATGGAATGTTGGTGGACAGGAAAAGAAGATTTAACGATGGGCTCAAAGCCAACCTTTAAAACTCTGGCATAGACACTGAGAACTGGGAAGCCCTGGCCCTTGAGCACTCCAGCTGGAGGTCAGCTGTGACCAGCAGTGCTGTAGAATTTGAAGAGGCATGAATGGAGGGCGAAAGAGAGAAATGGGCCAAGAGGAAGGCGCGCCGAGCCAACCCCGACTGAGACTGCCTTCCACCTGGAAACCAATGTGCTCACTGCAGGATAAGATGCAAAGCAAAAATAGGGCTCCATAGTCACCTACAGACCCACCAGTACACTGATCTTGGAAGACTATCCTACTCAGACTACAAGGGATCGCCTAAGTAAGTAACCTTTGGAGGATTCATGAAGGCAATTTAGGCTTCTCAGCTATTAAACTGATATCCCTGGTTATCTCTCTGAACTGTTCGAAGCAAAGATATCCCGATGCATAGAATACATAGCACATCTTTAGAACTGGTCCTTGATTGCTTGTATGTCAGACTACACAGAGAAGCTATTGAAATCCGCAAGCACGTGAATAATTTCAACAGTAAGGAGGGAACCATGAAAATGAACACCACTGAGAAACAGGAGAACTCCAGACAGCAAACAATCAAGGGCCAGTTGACACCTCTCAAACAGAGGATGCCTCCAGGCAACAGAGGCCAGGCTACCTCTATGCAGAGATACCTTTACTGACTGATCGCAAATTTCATGGCTATTCAAACTTGCTGATTGCAACATTCACACTTGCTTTAAACAGACAAGGGTTCTTTGTCCCACCCTGGAAATTATTCCATAGGTATATACACACTCCACTTGCCTCGCTGCCAACAGAATCTCTGAAGATGCCATTAGCCACAGATGCAGGCGAAGCATTACCTGCTTCTCCTTTATCTCACCTGAGTTTTTAATCAGTTTTTAATTACTGTATATACTTGAGTATAAGCCTAGTTTTTCAGCCCCTTTTTTAGGCTGATAAAGCTCCCCTCGGCTTATACTCGAGTCAAGGTTATTTATTCTTTTACTCTGTTATTAGTATTATTTTATTACATTTATTATTTTACTCTATTATTATTATATTTACATTATTTTGCTCTATTATTATCCTATTTATTATTTTGCTCTATTATTATTATTATTATTATTACATTTACAGTATTTTACCCTATTATTATTATTACATTCATTATTTTAATCTATTTATTATTATTATTATTACAGTATTTTACCCTATTATTACTACATTTATTATTTTACTCTATTATTGCTGTTTTTATTGCATTTTCATTATTTGACTGCATTATTTTTATTATATTTATTATTTTAATAATAAGTACATTTACATGGAAGGAGGTTAGAATAATGGTTTAATAAGAGTTGGGCAGTCTTATCTTAAATTACAGTTTTATGTAAATACTAGCTGACCCCTGCTGTGCGTTGCTGTGGCCCACATGGGGGTTCTGTGTGGGAGGTTTGGCCCAATTCTATCATTGGTGGGATTCAGAATGCTCTGTGATTGTAGGTGAACTATACATCCCAGCAACTACAATTCCCAAATGTCAAGATTCTATTTTCCCCAAACTCCACCAGTGTTCACATTTGGGCATATTGAGTATTCGTGTAGAGTTTGGTCCAGATCCATCATTGTTTGAGTTCACAGTGATCTCTGGATGTAGGTGAACTACAACTCCAAAACCAAAGGACACTACCCAACAAACCCTTCCAGTATTTTCTGTTGGTCATGGGAGAACTGTGTGCCAAGTTTGCCCCAATTCCATCGTTGGTGGGGTTCAGATTGCTCTTTGATTGTAGGGGAACTATAAATCCCAGCAACTACAACTCCCAAATGGCAAAATCAAAAAATTTTGAGTGACGGACATACATTGGGTTGCTAGGTGTCTTGTGTCCAAATTTGGTGCCAATTGCCCCAGTGGTTTTTGAGTTCTGTGAATACCACAAACGAACATTACATTTTTATTTATATAGATTCAGAAACATTTAGTCCATTGATGCCTCAATTAATGTAATTTTATTGGTATCTATTTTTATTTTGAAATTGACCCACCCTCGTCTTATACTCAATACATTTTCCCATTTTTTTGTGATCAAATTAGGTGCCTCGGCTTATATTCGGGTCGGCTTATACTCGAGTATATACGGGTAGTTTTTCTTTTAATCATTACATCTAGCCAATCACATTGTCACTGTGATTGTGTTTATTGTAATTTTATATCATTATGCATTCATATGTTTTATGTAATTATGATGTTGTTTATTGTTTTCGTTTTTATTTGGCTGCAATTTGTTGTTTGGGCTTGGCCTCATGTAAGTCACCCCGAGTCCCCATCGGGGAGATTGTGGCAGGGTATAAATAATAATAATAATAATAATAATAATAATAATAATAATAATTATTATTATTATTATTAGGGAATAATGCTACCGGAACATGGCAATACAGCTTGAAAAACTCATGGGATACTTTTTGGCCAGGGCCTACCTTGAGATGCAAGTGTACCCAGCCTCCCCCCTCAATTTTCCCCTATTTT